ATTCAACAGCTACTGAATGCTAAGAATATTAACATAAGGATAAATTGAAATTAGAGACAGCATACATGGTATAAAATTTCTACTTACAAAAATCCTAAGGGGAAATGCTTTAAATATGGGTAAAAACAACATTTAAGTAAGAGGAATACAGGAGAGTAAATAACTACATTAAAAACAAAAATCACCCCTTACACATCATACTCACAGTCTCAGAAGTCCGACCCATATACAGAATCTTAAAAGCAGTCAAAGAAAAGCAAATATCACTTACAAAGATTAAAGCCATGAGGATTACAGCATACTTTTAAACACAAACTTTAAAAGGAAAACACCCCTGAGAATCATGGGCCAAAGTGGGTCAAGCCCTAAAATAAACAACTTCCAACCCAGACTAATATAACCTGAAAAACTATATTTCAAAATCAGTGGATAAATAAAGACATCCCACACAAACAATTCCTCGAGCAATTTATGAATGCAAAGTTAACAAACCAAAAAATACACAGGAACATTCTTGACAATGACAATGAAGTAGGAAAGTTAGCTGAAATTAATACATCAAGCAAGGTGAATAATTAGATACAAAAGGAAAAAAATGAAAGTGTCAACAACGGAAAAAGACTGGATGACAAAAAATCAATAACCTCCAGTAATACCTTTCATTGTAAATGGCCTCAACCCCCTAATTAAAAGGCACCAATTTGCAGATTGAATCAAAACCCAAACTGGATGCTTTGTTGAATCAAGTTACATATCTAATCCAAAAAAGTAATTCATAGACTAAAGATCAAAGGATGGGAAAGAGCATTCCATGCACTAGGGGAGAAAAGAATGCAAGGTTAGCAATTTCATTCTTAAAATAATATTTTAAGATAAAACTGGTAAACTACATATTAATTAAATGAATATTTACACAGAGAGATAACAATTATAAGCATATATGCACCAATATATGCATACTTAACAAAACACTACTGGACACAAAAGATCAAATAAACATCAACACAATAATAATGAATGATCTCAATATGCCACATTCACAACTAGATCAACTAAATAAAATATTAACAGATATATCATAGCTGAACCATATCAAAAGATATCTGCAAAGTGTTCTATCCTACCATACCAGAATACACATCTTTCTCTGTAGCATACAGACTTTGTTCAAAACAGATGACATAGGAAACCATAAAGCCTGCTTAAATAAGTTCAAAAGAATTAAAATCATCCCATATATACTATCAGATAATAGCACACTAAAATTAGAAATCAATTGAAAAATAAAACATGGACCAAAACACCTAGAGATTAAATAACACACACTTGAACACTCAGTGGGTCAGTAGATGAAATCAAAGAGCAAATTAAACAATTCCTAAGATAAAATGATAATGTGAATACAGCACATCAGATCCTATGGGACATAGGTTATTCTTCGGGTTAAAGTAACCCTAAGAATATTGCTATGAAAGTATATTGCTATGAATTCTCAATTAAAAAACAAAGTGAGCTCAAAAATTCTAATCATGCTCCTTGAAATCTTAGGAAAAAACAACAGTCCAAACTCAAACCTAGTACAAGGAAGGAAATCACGAAAATCAGTGTGGAAAGTAATGAAACTGTTACTAAAAAATCAATGCAAAGAATCAGTGAATTGAGCTGTTTATTTAAATGCATTAACAAAATAGACAAACAGTGCACTCTACTTACCAAAAGAAAGAAAAAAACTCCATATCAATGCAGGTGGAAATGAACAAGGTTAAATCCTATTGGATACCAATGATAAAAAAAAGGTCATTAATAACTACTGTGAAAAACTGTACTCCAGCAGATTGGAGAATCTTGAAGAAATGGGCAAATTCCTCGGCACATATGAGTCACCACACTGAACCAAAAAGATATAGAAACTGAATCATCCAAAAAACAATGAAATTAAAGAAATAATAAAATGCTAACAATGAAGAAAATTCCAAGACTTGATGGATTTACCACTGAATTTTACAAGAGCTTCAGAGAGGAATTAATACTCCTCAAACTCTTTAATAAAATTGAAAGAGTAGGAATACTTCTGAACTCATTCCTGGAATTCTGAATTAGCCTGTTTCCAAAGCCAGTCAAGGAGCCAACTAATAAAGACAAATATATATCAAACAAAAATCTCAACAAGTACTGGGAAACAGAATACAAGTAATCAAAGAATATATCATGATTAAGTAGGCTTCATCCCAAAGATGCGAAGGTATTTCAACATACGAGCTATGGTTTGTGTCTAGATGTACCCCAAAGGCCTGATGGAGTCATGAGCTTTTTCCAGAGGTGGCTGAATCTCCAGTGTATGATGCTGGGATTAAGGGTCTAAACGTTACACCTACTTTAGGTTGGATAATCTGTGTATGATAAAAGGTAAAGAAAGAATCTTATCTTTTCTCTTGTTGCTTTCTATCTTCTGGCTGCCATGATCTGGTCCCCCTTTTTTGCTTTGTTACATGCTGCCCCCCTCCATGAGCTGTGTATCTCTGCCAAATTACTTTGCCTTGGAGCCAGCCAATCACAAATTTAAAACTTTATGAACTGTAAGTAAAATAAGAATTCCCCCCTTTAACTTTGAGTGTTAGCTCTTTTGTCTCAGCAATGAGAAAAGTAACTGAGACATTATGCGTATCAGTAAATTCAGTACACCACGTATGTATAAGCAGGGCAGAGGACACATGATTGTCTCAATAATTTCAGAGAGAGGACCTGACAAAATCCAACATCCATTCCTGATAAAAATTTCTTTAAAAAAACCCCTGTAGGTATAGTAGTATTTAACTCAATTTGATAAAGTTACTTATGACATACCTACTTCTCTTATGTATCTGTCTACATATGTACATGTATGTATCTCACATAGGAAAACACTTTTTTTCTTCAAATGTGAAAATTACAATACTAAAAATGAAGAAAGAAGAAAGGAGCTTCAATACAAGTTGTGCTTAAATTTATGCAGAGTCAGGGAACATAATTTAGTTAGTTTAAATAACAACATGCATATGACTATGTATAGGTACATGATTACTATTATAATATATATACTGATATAAGGACAGAGGCATATAGGTGAAATGTATGTGAATTCACTCAGATTATTTACATTTGGTATTGTCTATGCAAAAACTTTGTTACAAATGGAAAATATTAAATACACTAATACAGATCAAACAAATGTAACAATGTAATAATGAGTTAGAGGCAGACAAAGATCCTGTCTCTCTTTTAGAGACTTAAGTTATTGTGTCTTCTAGATGAACGTTAAAGCAGTTATTCTTGGAAGCATCCTCATAACATCTGAAAAATACTTTCCGCAGGTGCTGTTTAAGAAATATAGAGTGACACTTGCTGTGATATGGTTCAGGGAGAGCTCCTCAGGCTAATAATAGGGACCCAAATTTTGTCTCTTTTTTTGAATCCCTTAATGTTGTTGTAATAGTGCCTGCTTTTCACTGCCTAACTCCTCAGTGATTTGCATCTCTCTTTGTCTTCTTTCATGAATTCATCTTTGTTACGCAGGAGTCCAACTGGAGGGAACTGCTTGTTTCTACACTGATAGCATGCTTTGTTTTTATTGATAGGAATTTCCTGAACTTTACCTATGCTACTCTATTTTTCTTCTTTACTATATGTTTCCTCCCCAAGTTTAGAGACTTCAGGATGCAATGGATTCATTTCCTTTGCTCAGGATCGCTTCAGTGCTTGTAAGATGTGTTCCAGGTTCAAAATTGAATACTGTATGTTTTTGTGCTATCTATGAAATAAATTGTACAGTTTTCTAATGTCTTTGGTAGAATTTAAAATATTTCGTTTGTCCCTTTGCCTACTCTTTAGGTATCATCAAAGAATGATGGTGTCACTTAGGTTATTCCACACTTTTACCAGACAGCATATCACGCTTCATGTATCTTTTCCTTATAGTGCTGGAAGGAAAGGTGGATGTTGTGAAAGGTGAGAGGCAGGCGAATAAAATCTGAAGCTCTTTGGTGCTCTCGAAGGAATGCATGCTAGTGGTTCCAAGAGGCACAAAATGGGGAAGATTCTTGCTGTATGTATGAACTCATTTACTCAATTACTCCGTGAAATAGCAGATAGATTTCTACCTCATTAGCATGCACAGAAAATTATTTCAAAACTTTAAGAAATATTTATGTTTAATATTACAATATTTGAGGTATAAAGTGTTCTTAAAATAATGCTTTGATAATTATGATATTAAACATGAGATGGTTGCAAATTAAAAGTTGATCCAGTGGAAAATTTGGATTACTGGAGTAGAAAGAGCAGAATGGATTCCAGTAAATGGTGTGCGTGTGTGTGTGTGTGTGTGTGTGTGTGTGTGTGTGTGTGTGTAAAGTAAAATAGTACATGTTTTATTATTGGTATCCACCAAGGAGGAGTAATGACCTCCAAGAAATTATTGAACGACTGAGATTTTGTACTGAGTTTTTTTAGAATGTCTTAATATGTCCCTGTATACAGCTAATTTTGCAATTTGTTTAAATCTTTAATTCTTAGGCAATTCCACATGCTAGTTCATATTATTGTTCCCTGCTACATGTGTTAATATTTTGTAGTATAAATTGGTGACAACTCATATTGTCAGATTAAAATATATGATGAAGCAAAAATATCAAAACCACCCAAATAAATATACCTTTTTTTTCTTGTCAGTGCACAAGAATGGACTTTTCTTTCATCATCAGCAACAAAAGACTTTAGGCTATTACAATGCATTTGATGTCTGTTTGAATTTGAGCTCTAATGCCTAAGAAAATCCAAGATTTTCATGAAGAAAAGTTATGGATCAAGTCTTTAGGAAATCTTAATTTCCTGGTTTGGAATAGTATACATGGTTTTTTAAAGGGAGAATATTTTTGAATTTTTAATCAAGTTTCTTTTTCAGTTTAGATGTATGTATTAAATTTTAAGCAGTGATAACTGAAATCAAGGCATCCTCATAGACAATGAGTGAGTTCATGCAAAACACATTTTTAATCATTCTAAATGTTGAGTTTGTAATTGGAAATTTAGGAAATGGCTTCATAACACTGGTGAACTTCATGGTCTGGGTAAGGGGAAGAAATATTTCCTTACTTGATCAAATCCTCACTATGTTGGCGATCTCCAGAATTGTTCTGCTCTAGTCAGCAGACATATACATATTGCCTATGTTTTACCGAAGTTTGTTGACTGATGCAATGATGAAAATAATTAGTATTATCTGGACAGTTACTAGGTGTTTTAATATCTGGCTCACAACGTGCCTCAACATCTTTTATTTTTTCAAAATAGCAAATTTTTCTAAACCTATTTATTTTATTCTTAAGTGGAGAGTTAAAGAGGTAGTTTCATTGACATTTTTAGTGTCACTGGTCTTCTTGCCTTTACACATTATACTAACCCACATATTAATGCCTGGGCTAATGGATATAAAAGCAATATGCCATACACATTCAATTCGATTAACTCTACACACTTATTCAAAAAAGTTTTATTCAGAAACTCTATATTCACATTCATACCATTTACTGTGTTCCTGACAATTTTCTTCTTGCTTATCTTCTCCTTCAGGAAACATCTGAAGAGGGTGCGGCACCATGCCAGAGAATTCAGAGATGTCAGCACCACGGCCCACATGAAAGCTTTGCAAATTATAGTTGCCTTCATCCTTCTGTATATCATTGTAATAATTTCTTTTGTTGTAAAAATTTTGAACTATGAATTGCTGGACAAAAAGTTATATTTTTATTTTGCCTAGTTTCTATTTTTACTTTTTCTTTAGGACATTCATTTGTTGTGATTTTAGGAAACAAAAAGCTGAGACAAGCCTCTTTTTCCTTACTTGGATGGCTGAGGTGCTGGTCCAAAAATGTGGAATCTTCAATTTCCCAATAAATTTTGTCTATTACCATACATTTTTTAAAGGAAGATTAACTCAAAAGAAATTCTCACATATTATAAATTTGTGCTTTTTTAATATTCTTACAACATATATAATTTTGAGAATTTCCAAAATGTATGCTTGGAATGAACACTAACCAAGGATATTTCAAACTAATCAGTGCATTTTAAAGTATGTATTTTAATGTAGTCAAACAGAATAATGTCACTGCAGAAAATTTAATTGTTAAAGAATTTATAGTCAAGAACATTTTGAATTTTGCATCAATCATTGAACTTTCTAAAATTTTAAAGTGAAGTAAGAAATATGTGTGTTGGCATACATTTAAAACAGTTATTAAAATTGAACTCTAATTTTATATAAACAAACAAATACTAAGTGCAGAGATTTATATCAGAAACACAGAATAAAATAGTTTTGATGCATGATTTAATGGTGCATGTCAATATAAAAATATAATCAAAATTCTTCAAAGTCAAGAGGCTTTTTAATCCAATTATCCTTTTCATGTTAATAGTTTCAAATGTAAGACTTTTAAAGGATATATTTATCATTGTTAGGACTACACCTTTTATATGTGGAAATATATCACATTTTTCATAACAATTATGGACAGCAACTCATTTTAAATTAAAAGATCAATATATGAAATTATTGTGATAATAGTGCTTTAGTTGAGCCACATCTTGGAATTTTTTTAGGTTATTGCATTAGCTATCTGTGTCACCGAGGTGGTAAAACAACCAGTTTGTTATAGAAATAGAAATTTATAACTATGGATGAACACTATATAATGAGCATGAACTTTGATTATCTCTATGTGATATTAATACTGGTTTTACAATAGAAATAAAACATAGTTTAATAAAATAAGTAAAAATTTAAGACGAGAGACTCAAGATTTGGAAAGAAGAGAGGAAAGCATGGTCATATGTTATTTGTTCTGTGTTGTTAAATATTTATTAAGATGAATCCTGTATACTTTTAGCAGTGAAGAATTCTTATGACTTATTTTCCTACCTTAACTTCAAGTTCATGGTTGTGTCAGGAATAGATTCCCTTGTGTTCCTGATGTCATTTTTCATTTACGTATTTGTTGAAGAAATCAGCTCTGTAGCAGAAAGTAGTTTTTTATAATGAGTTGTCATTAAAATAAGATAAAATATTTAAGTGGCTGGTTAAATCTGCATTGTTCATGACTTGTTGATATTCCTTCCCATGTCTTTGATACTATTTTTTACATAAGTAATCTGAGTTTCTGAGATATTAAGAGACATTTTCCATAGGCTACAAAAATTTCATGAGAGATCTAAAATAATAACATTTGTAGAGGGAAAGTTTTGCCTGCAACATGAAACATCAACTGGAGGAGATTGTTCTCAGCCACATCTAAATATTGTGGGAAAGTGGTAGAAAAAATATGTAATTAGGAGCTCATAATAAATGTTCTTAAGTTTTGTTATGACATCTGGTGGCTTGTATAATGAGTGCACAATTTTTAATTGTATTGTTGAAAAGTTAACTGTATAATTGAAAACCACATGTGCAAAATTGTCAAATGTACTTTGTGATTTAAAGCCATTTTTGTACAAAGAAAATCATGTCACTAAAATATAACTATTTAAAATGACTGTTGCTTTATTCTAGTCATATATGATTTCTTTGAAGTTTTTGGTTTATCCAGTGAAATTACTTAAAAATTCAAAATGCTAAGTGACTGTAGTGATTACTGCTATTTTTATTAAATTAGAATTTACTAGTATTTCATGAATAAGCATAGTATTGCTGTTGCCTTAGAATAAAATACAGTTTTACATCATCTTAGCAAGATATTTTTCTAGTGTTTTCATGTGTAGCAGTCTAATAAAATGTGCCAAATTATCAAATATAGTATTGTTCTATTTGTCTTCATGGCTGTGCACATGTATTTATCTACCACAGCCTTACAGGCACCCCGCATATCATCATCCAGAAATTACTGCACGTTATCTCTTTATGTGAAACTTTTCTTTTGACCTACCCCCATCCCTGCAGATACTCATCTGTCCTTTTTCCTACAGATTTGTATTGCCAGAATATTACATAAACAGAAGACAAAGGATGTTCCTTAAGATCACTTTCTTGTACTCAGTGTACTGTCTATGCAACTCATTCATGTTCAATTCAGGTCTGAGTAGTATATCATGTATGAAAACATTACCATTTGCTTTACATTTGCCTGTGAATGGATATTTATGTACTTTTCAATGTTTGGTGATTACAAATAAAATTATTAACAAACTAAAGTTTCAAATTTGTTTTATTATTTAAGATGGTTATATATTTCCTTTCTCTGACCAATTAAAATTATGATACATATTAATAGCTGTACATGCACCATACTCATGTCTTGTACTTTGTAAATTATTTGAATATGGAATATATGCATATTCACATATATATTATAATACAATTCCAGCATTTGTTGGAACCTGAAATTCAACACACACACACACACACACACACACACACACACACACACACATATATATATATATATATATATATATATATATATATATAAAGACAGGACAGGCAATCACTAAAGAATGAAAAAGCAATTTAAATCACATATTCAATTTTATTAAAATTATGTGTCACAGGATATATAATTGTATTTTCAACATACTATATAAGAAACCTATAACCCTAAATTTTGTCTAAAAGTGTATGGTAGACTTTGAATAAATAAATATCTTTTTAAAAGAAACTAATGCCATTTTCTATATACATCTTTCACTAAAATTGTTAATGATGAACCCACTTTAGAAGGTTTCTTAGTGAGTGAATCATTTACTCCCCAAATACATGTGTTAAATGAAGCTTTATCCCCTAGTGTGACTATAATTTGTTACAAGTCATTTGTGGAAATCATGACAGTTAAGGTTAAGTGCAGTCATAAGGGAAGAGCCCGAATCTAGTAGTCTGAATTTCTTACGAAAAGAGAGACAGGATCCTGTCCACACAAAGTAAAGTCTTGTAACCTCCAAGAGAAGGCTTGTTTGAGGAGGACTGTCTGAAAGCTGGCAAAACAGGCCTCACCTGACTCCAACCATGCTGCTCCCTTGATCTTGGACTTTCAGTTTCCAGAACTGTGAGAAAGCACATTTCTGTAGTTTAAGTCAACCACTCTTTGGGAATCTATGGGCAATCAGAGCACATTTATACAAGGCAAAAATGCAGGAGGGAAAGAATGTGGATGAACACATGACGCCTTGAGTACTCTGAGAAAATAGGTAGCAATTTGTGTCAGTAGGCATCAAAAAGTTGTTATTTTATGATTGAAAGCTAGTGATGACTAGTATTCTAAATACAATGAACTGAACATTACAAATTGTTGTAATTTACATAAATTATTCTTCAGCAAAGTTGTGTAACAAATATATGCCTAAGTTGTTTGAAAATTTGCCCTGAGAATATTTATAAGCTGCATTTGAGGCTGCAGTATTTACACAGAAGTCATAATTACAGATTATGATATTCTGCTCTACTGTTCTGCACTTTGAAGTTGACCATACTTAAAAATTATTAAGTATGTATTATATAAATTTCTATTGTCTTGGAATTGGAGACAGGTTCTGTTTAGAAATACCTCCAAGAACAGTTTTTATATGTTAATTTCACACTGAGAATGAGTTAGATTTAACTTCAACTCAAAAAACATGTCTATGTAAAATTAAATGAACATCAGCTATGAGCTGCACAAGAGTATTTCTGTTTTTTCTAAACAAGAAATGAATTAAAACATGCCAAGACCTTTGCTTGGTTTAAAAGGAAATAGTGGATTTTTAAATAAATATATCTTATTTAAGAAAAATTAAAAATGAATAAATAAAAGTCTAGGGGAAAAAACAACTATTTTGTCAAAGATAAAGTTGACCAGGAAAGTTTGAGAATAAAAGAAAACATGACAGATGTGAATATAAAATTAAAAATGAATCTAAACTTAGAGAATAAGTAAGTGAATTATATTGGTCATTAAAAGTGGAAATTCTCAAACTTCAGCCTAGATCATATTTGTTATATGTGCAGCTATATAATGTATGATATATATTTTGTACTTCAAATATTTTATGCATCTTCATTTAACATATCCTATAGGCATGAATCACATGTAAAAGAATTTAATGAATAGTGTTTTAAAATATGTAAATGTAGATATAAGCATATAAATGATCACAGTACTGTTGGCATTTTCCAATATTAATATGCCCTCCTGCTGAGTTGCAAAGATTCAACACTGTCATATTCATTGGTATACAAACTACTGGACTTTTGACTTTTTGTACTAGATGAGAGATAGAAAAACTTCACTCTATTAAATAGCTTATGACATTTTGTTCATTAATTTAGCTTTGTAATATGAAGTTGATTTCTGAACTAATTCACCAGTGAAGCAAAACTTAGTTGAGCAAGGCCAGTTTAGTGAAATATTAATTAATATTAAATATATTAATATATGAACAGTGGTATTTAAAGGTAAATAAATATAGTTAAATAAAAGGTAAATAAAAATAAGTAAAACACAATAATAAGAGGACAAATGCTTTTGAAAATGTAATATCAAAAGAATTTATCAAATATTCAAAAGTGGATTACATATTAGAAACCATATAAATTAAATTTTGTAAATACTTCATAGTTTGACAGAACAATTAGAATTATTAATTATAAAGAGGATGTGGGCCGTATGGCTTAATCTAATAAATAGATGTAATATTCTTTATTAATATGGGACATATAATCATTTTAATGAAATGCTTAATTTTAGAAGTATTACTTCCCTTACAAGTCAAAAAAACTTAATAAATACAAAAAATGGCTAGCTAAAAGTATATTCTAATGCTACTATTGCTATGCCAAACAGAAAAACCAAAATGACACCCAGGATTTGGATGCAGATTTATTTCATATCAGACAGGCACAAACAAGGAGTCAATTGTCCTTGAAAATC